TGCTTTTGAACTGTGGTGTTGGAGAAGACTCTTGAGAGTCCCTTGGACTGCAAGGAGATCCAACCAGTCCATCCTAGAGGAGATCAGTACTGGGTGTTCATTGGAAGGACTGATGCTGAAGCTGAAACTCCAATACTTTGGCCACCTCATGCGAAGAGTTGTCTCATTTGAAAAGACTCTGATGCTGGGAAAGATTGAGGGCAGGAGGAGAAGGGACGACAGAGAATGAGATGGTTGGATGGCATCACTGACTCAATGGACATGAGTTTGGGTGGACTCCAGGAGTTGGTGATGGACAGAGAGGCCTGGCATGCTGCGGTTCATGGGATCGCAGAGTCGGACACAACTGAGCGACTGGACTGAACTGAACTGATAGAATGACACTGGAAGTGAGATTCCTCCACCTGAACCTCTTACTATCATGAACAGGCTTTGTGTAAAAGAAAAGTCAATCATAGAAACCAATCTCCAGGAAAATACTGCTGCCAGCACTCTTAACACACATATCAAAGAGGGATGTGTGTGCTAAGTCGCTTCAGTCGTGTTCGCCTCTCTGTGACCCTATGGACTATATCCCCCGCCAGGCTCCTCTGTCCGTGGGATTCTCCAAGCACGAATACTGGAGTGGGTTGCCATGCCGTCCTTCCAGGGGATCTTCCGGACCCAGGGATCAAACCCACATCTCCTATTTCTCCTGCATTGGCAGGCAGGTTCTTTACTGCCACCACCACCTGGGAAGCCCCACTCTAGAAAAGGACAGACAGTATCTAATAAGCAATATGGTACTAGTATAGCTGACTGTGCCAATTGTTTTTACATAAAGATCTCATATGAGACTTACAACAATCCTGAATGTAGACAGGTATAGTTTTAATTATTTCAGAGGTGATGAAACAGTCTCAACATGTTCAATAATGTGCACAAATCAAACAGCCTTTAACTACCAGAGCTAGGAATTCTATCCAGGTCTTCTGCTCTTTGCATTTCAACATGTTGCATTTATTTTAATGGTCATTGACCAAAATATCATTGATATTTCTACTATTTAATGAGAATTTAAACTTCCTAAAAGTAGAGAGACTACTTTGTATAAGTGTAGACTCTTCCCTATGAGTGAGTGGATATCACCTGCTATGTAGGTAGATAATGCTGTAATTAAAATTCAGTGGTCACTACCACCATGCAGAAGGACAATTCAGATTGTTAACATCACACATAAAATGAAGATATAATAAACAACTTAAGAAAATGACATTTGTAACACATAAGATCTTGATTAGCATAATTGATATGTAAAAAACTTTTATAATTATACATTTTTAAACATATGAGTCAAAGAACACAAGCAGTGAATTCACAGAGAATACAAATGTCCATTTTCTGTTCTTTAATGTTTAGCTTCACTCATAATAATAAAAAACAGAATTCAAAACCATAAGATATTTGCTGCCAATCAAATGCATATTTGAGCCAATGTTTATAAAATTGGAGGATGTTTATTTTTCTGCCTGGAGTATAAATTCATACAACATTTCAGATTAATTTAATAATCAAATAAACCCAAAATTT